GGAGTGTGTGATTTTTTTATGTAACATAGATGGAGTGTGTGAATTTTTTATGTAACATAGACTGAGTGTGTGTAATTTTTATGTAAGGTAGATGGAATGTATGAATTTTTTATGTAACGTAGATGGAGTGTGTGATTTTTTATGTAACATAGATGGAGTGTGTGTATAAAAATTCATACATTCCATCTACCTTACATAAAAAATTCACACACTCCATCTATGTTACATAAAAAATCACACACTCCATCTACGTTACATAAAAAATCACACACTCATCTATGTTACATAAAAAATTAACGTAGATGGAATGTGTGAATTTTTTCAACTCTTCCAAAAACATGAACAGCTCTGCACATAATTGGATCATATTATACAAAGGTTGAGTACGTTATATTAAACAATTTTGGAACCTTGCCACATTGGTACAGTCCATGTTGCCATGTGTAATGATAGGATATCTGATTACCATGCATCTTGACACTAGCTTCACAGGAAATCTTCATCATTAGGCTGTCATGTCCTAAGCACACTTCTTCTCCATTCATGGGTTTCAAAATCCATCTAATGTACAAGGATGATGGTTTCCCAGTGACTTCATCTGGAATAGCATGAATACCCATTAAAGTTCTCAAATGATCAATATATCAAGGTACACAGTTAAAAACGTTTACTCTAAAACCAGTCAACAATGGATTTAAAACAGACGTTCTACATGTTTCAATATCAAATAACTTCATCCTCAGGAGTGTGAAAACAAAGCCTGTGCAAATCATATATATATATATATATATAGAGAGAGAGAGAGAGAGAGAGGGAGCCTTTGGTCATGTGACTACTTAGTTTACATGTTTTCTGACTTCCCAACTCTTCATCCTTATTTAAGATATAAAAATTAATTTTAATGCTTCATTATTTCTATAGTTTATCTGATATTTGTGGTTGTCATGTCATTCAGTTGATACAAAAGAAGTTTCTTCCCACTGAATAACATGACTGGTATGACTTGCATGTTCAGTTAATGTACAATTATCACTTTTGTTTTTAACATTTCTCTGATTTGAAATTTTTTCCAGTTTGACAAATCTATACATAACCACATTCAATTTTATAAATACTCATTTTTTACATTAGATTATGTGCGTCTTTAGTTTTATTTATTATACTTATTTAATGGTGTATTAATCGGAATAAGATTTTTTTGTTTGTCAAGTTTTTGAAACATGACAAACCTGGGATATAAGGTAAAACTAACATTTCCCTTATATCTATTCTATAAAATGTTGATGTTAGTTTACTTTTTTAAGTATTGTTTGTAATCTTGTCAAATTTTCTCATGGCTCTATTGACAATATTAGGTGAGGAACCTCTATCTAATGCTATATATATTTGATTAATAACAGTTCCTCTATATCTTCTTGTTTAAAGACCTGTAAACATAAGAATAAAAATCTGACATTTTTTATGACTTTATGTGACATGATTATTAGTCAAACTGTAATTTTAACCTTGTAATAGCATGAATACCCATTTCATTCTCCAGCTGCATGATGTATGCAATGGGTGAACAGATATGTGATGGAACAAACTTGTGTAAATGTGACTTTCGTTTATCCAGACAGAGATCCTTCATGATTATGTTGTGTAATGTTGCCTGTGGCACATTGACCTCACCTGTGTGTTTGTGGTTTCTCACCTGTTACAAGACACCCCTTTTTTGCTTACCATGGCTGGGGTACGACTTGTTGCAGGTCTCTTTCTGGATGATCCTTCCATCCAAATTGATCCATATTCCTTTGTTTTCTGATGCAATTAAATACAAGGAATATCTCCATCACAGAAATTATAAATCCTTGATCTGAACACATCTTTATTGTCTGAGAATATGATTATTTTATATGAGAAAGAGCTGTTACATACTGTTTTCAAAAGTGGTTAATGTCAAGTAATATTATACTACTTATGAAATTACAAACAATATCTTAATATAGTTTTGATACATACCATTCCACCAAGATACTGCATTAACTATGTTTTTCACATAACTTACTGATTTCAAAATCATTTTAATGTAACATACTCAACTCTGTGTAGTCCATCAAGTTGAATTTTAGTTTAATCTTTGAGTTAATAAGTGCTTGATTAACAATATTTTAACTTATCTAACTTATAAAACAAAAACTTTTTATGTGGATTTAGCATTATAAAGTTTATGAGAAGATATATTTAGTGGAATATCAAAAATAAAAATAGATATTTTTTCTCAGAATTTCTTTTTGTTTCTAGGGCTGGAAGCAATGAAAGCAAGAACTTGTCGATATTCCAAAAAACAAATGAGATGGATTCAAAACCGATTTTTACAAAGTATGCCAACCGGATTTAATAATTACCATAACTCTCCTTTTATGTTTTAAACAATATTCAATGGTATACTAATTGTTTTAGTGTTATCAATAAAAAAAAAAGAGTAAAATAAAATAAACTTACAGGTATAATTCAGATTGGTTTTTCACATTATATATCAATTAATAAGTCATACCAAGTCAGTTTCAAGATGTTATTAAATTTCACCCCCTGCCAGTGGCTCAGCAGTAGGTCTGAAGGCTTATAATTGTGTAGTTTTGTGCATAATAACAAAACAAAAAGTTATTAAATATCAACGATTCAGCTGTATAGTTGATAGGTGGGTACACCTTTATTAAGACTACAGGTATAAAAAACATCAGTAATATGTACAGGTACACCTTTATTAAGACTACAGGTTTAAAAAACATCAGTATTATGTACAGGTACACCTTTAGTAAGACTACAGGTATAAAAAACATCATTAATATGTACAGGTACACCTTTAGTAAGACTACAGGTATAAAAAACATCAGTATTGTGTACAGGTACACCTTTAGTAAGACTACAGGTATAAAAAACATCAGTATTGTGTACAGGTACACCTTTATTAAGACTACAGGTATAAAAAATCGTCATAGATACTGATATCACTCCCATACATGTTTTTATTAGTGCAACAAACATAATTAATTATCTTTATCTCAAACATAAACACGGGTAAATTATTTTATGATGTAACTTTTATGATTCCTAACTTTAGTATCTTTTAAAGCTGAATGGAAATATTAAAGTTATAGTTTTTAGAAGATATATATTTTTTGTTAGAAATTTTGAATGAACCAATCTAAAGATTCTGTTACTTTACTTCTGTTAAAACTAAAAACAAGGTTATCATTTACATTAATATTCAGAATCCTATTACCTCACTTGTTTGATGACAGAAATGTTGATTTATACAAGTTAAAGAAGCCATAATGATAATTATTTAGGCCCTGGTCGACAGGTTCCACCTCTGTACAGTTTAGATTCAACAGATCCTCCCAGATGGCAAGAACTAGTTTATGACCCTGCAGTCAACATTCTGGAAGCTGTTATTCAGGTATAACTTGTGATCTGAAATACTTTAAAGTTAAGATAACTCATTAGGATATTCAAGTTATAAACTTGTAATCCATAATGTGTTGAAGATAAAATCTGAAATACTTTAAAGTTAAGAGAACTCATTAGGATATTCAAGTTATAAACTTGTAATCCATAATGTGTTGAAGATAAAATCTGAAATACTTTAAAGTTAAGATAACTCATTAGGACATTCAAATTGTAAACTTGTAATCCATAATGTGTTGAAGATAAAATCTGAAATACTTTAAAGTTAAGATAACTCATTAGGACATTAAAATTATAAACTTTTGATCTGTAATGTGTTGAAGATAAAATCTGTAATATTTTAAAGTTTAGATAACTCATTAGGACATTCAAATTGTAAACTTGTAATCTGTAATATTTTGAAGTTAAGATAACTCACTAGGATATATAAGTTATAAACTTGTAATCCATAATGTGTTGAAGATAAAATCTGAAATACTTTAAAGTTTAGATAACCCATTAGGACATTCAAATTATAAACTTGTGATCTGTAATGTGTTGAAGATAAAATCTGAAATAATTTAAAGTTAAGATAACCCATTAGGACATTCAAATTATAAACTTGTGATCTGTAATGTGTTGAAGATAAAATCTGAAATAATTTAAAGTTAAGATAACCC